TTAAATGTTGATAATCAAGATAATATTGACACTGATAAAAATAAAATGAAGTTAAATTATGCCAAGATCACTAAGGTAAATTTTGTTTGATAGTGCACTATTAACAAATATGTCAACGAAGACAAACATTTCTGTTTAATTTTGACATCTATTGATAGTACGAAGTTAGTTTATGTGTGGTATATTATATCCATCACATCTCCCCAAATAAACTTATCACACCTTTGGATTCAATTTGGTTCAAATGGTGAGAGACTATCTTTACGCGAGGAATCTCTCTCTCTCTCTCTCTCTCTCTCTCTCTCTCTCTCTCTCTCTCTCTCTCTCTCTCTCTCTCTCTCTCTCTCTCTCTCTCTCTCTCTCTCTCTCTCTCTCTCTCTCTTTACGCGAGGAATATCTCTCTCTCTATCTTTACGCGAGGAATCTCTTTCTCTCTCTCTCTCTCTCTCTCTCTCTCTCTCTCTCTCTCTCTCTCTCTCTCTCTCTCTCTCTCTCTCTCTCTCTCTCTCTCTCTCTCTGAGAAATCAGGCATTTCAAACATCATTATTTTGACCCTGATAAGTTTCTTATGTTGTCTGTCGCATTCTATTTTCTTAAGTACATGTGTGTATTATTGAACAACAGAGCCGTTGTTTATCATGTGAAACTGTCAGCAAGCTCTCAAGTCAAACATGTATTTTGTTTCTACCTGAAATGTTATGATTACAATTCAGCTTCACTGCCGGTGTTGCTTTTATAACGGTTGCATGTTCTGACGTATTAACTGCTGAATTCTTGCGAATACACCGCTTCATAATTTTTACTGATGTCATGTTGACCAAACCATATTCTTAGCTCCAGAAGTTTTGTTTGCAGCTGTCTGGTCTTTCTTCGGAAAACTGAGGATACGAGAACATGTTTGGAAGGCAGACAAAAAATGAAGGAAGAACGCGGATTTGCTCTGTTTGCTTCTATCGCTCGGACGTCAGTAGTTGTTTTCTCTAGGGAAGGCAGCTCTAGTTCTCGCGTTGTTTCAACAGCTTCTATTTTGCCAGCTAATTTGTGTTAAGCTGTTGTAATGCAAGTAGACTGTCATCTAGCTTTAGCTTAAATTTTAAATATTTCACACTAGAAAACTTGATCTGAATGGCTTCTTCATAATGCAAGAGCTGCTCTTCCATCTGGTACATTGTAATCAAGCTATGTCTTTTATCTCCAGATTCTGCTACTGTTTGTAATATTTTTAGAGAATTGTGCAAAGCAGTTCTCAGTGATTTGCATTGTCTTTTATCTTCTGATCTAATCAGTTTATTTTTGTCCAAACGATCCTGGCCTTCTTTGCTAACTCGGCTTCTTGCTTCCTGTAGCATGAATATGAACTTGTCAATTTCACTAACCATGCTTTTGGCCTGCATTTATATTTCTTTCATAGCCATCTCGTTGCCATGTAACAGTCTAAATGTCCAATAAGCTTCTTCATGTTTTTAATCTTGTCAGTAGACGTCTTTGCCTGAATGAGTTCCTCGCTAAGATCTTCTATCCTAAGTGTTGTATAGCGTCTGTGATTATCAATTACGCAGTCAGAGCAGCACATGATATCATGAGACATGCATATGAATTCTATTTCTCTGCTTGTGTGAACAGGACATGGCGATGTAAAAGTTAAGCAGCCATTAGCGTTTGGCATAGAACTTATGTCACTGGTCTCAACCAAAGAATGACTTTCGTGTGATTTTCTACAGTTCAAACATAACGCCTGTTCAAAAGTAGTGCAGAAAATTGTAGAGTGTACCGTAGTTCCTATCATTCTGCATGGGCTGCATAATGACTTCACATGCCTTCTATCATCGGTTAACAACGACAACAAAATATGATCATCAGGAAAATGGCGCGCCCATTTGTCAATAGAAATTGCTGGCAATGGTGATAGAGTTTTCTTTTTGCGCACTGGACAGCTGAAGCTCACTTCTTTGTTGTAAGAAGCTACAGACGTCTGTATCAAATCATCCAGGCATATCTCACAAAATGTATGTCGACATGGAAGGTACCGGGGAGTATTGATGATTTTCCTGCAGCTTGGACAACATAAATCATTCAAACTCTTCGCACTCTGTATTTTTAAAACTAACTTACGGTTTTCAAATTTATAGCTGTATTACATCCTGCTTACCTACTGCCTCGCAACTGCCAAACAAATACGTACCGTCCAATGATTTTGTAACAGCACTTCAGTGTATGAATACGTGCGCATATAAATTTGAGCAACCCAAAGTTACTTCGCAAAGCGTCTGCTGATACGTGATCGTGAAATTCCCACCGGAGACAACTATAACGTTGAGTATACAATGAATGTGCTGAAGAAAGACCCATATCACGTACACATATAGTTTTATAACGGTGCTAATCAGTCGTGAAAGATAAGTTTTAATTCATTTTCTCCTTCAAGTTTTATAGCTTTTAGAAATTTGGTAAACAATGAAGTACTTTAGTCTAACTGGTCACTGAAAATTAAACTAATACTAATTTTACATACTTGATTTTAGAATTACTTCAGCACTTTGTGACTAGAGCATAAAACACTGAAGATTGAATCCATAATTTCTTCTTTCAATGCACCTAGATAAATAAGTGTTTGAGACCCTTTAGAAATGTATCAGAGCTGTAAAAATAGTTGTATTGTTTGCTGGGAGTTTAAATGCTATTTTTTAACGATATTATGAGTTGTTTTACGAGTAATACTTTCCATTGGCAACGTTGATAATGCGCTCAAATATTGAATCATAGGTTTTACTGTATTTTACACATCTTATATATATATATATATATATATATATATATATATATATATATATATATATATATATATATATATATATATATATATATATATATATATATATATATATATGACAAAACAATATAGAGGTGCCTGTAAACACTTGTACATTGATTAAGAGTAGATGTATTCAAATGTATGGGGTATAGCAGAATATCAGAACAGTCATAACTATGCTGTAATATGCCAAATAAATTTTTTTATGATCCTCGTGAAAATAAACGATGTCGCAGAATATATATGATTGAAAAAAATCCAAAAAGACATAAAATGAAGAAAAGGCTATGATTGGGAAGGGAAACTCTAAGACGCAAAGTAAACTTAATTTTTTATAGACAGATAGATCTCGACAGACAGACTAATCGACCTTTCGATAAATAGATAGACAGATGGACCGATCAATCAATGGATAAATAAACAGACAGATAGATCTTTCGGTATAGATAGACATGCCGATAGACATACCGATAGATAGATAGATAGATAGATAGATAGATAGATAGATAGATCGATAGATAGATAGATAGATAGATAGATAGATAGATAGATAGATAGATAGATAGATAGATAGATAGATAGATAGATAGATAGATAGATAGATAGATAGATAGATAGATAGATAGATAGATAGATAGAGTGAGTTACGTCACTTGGGTTGGTGTCACCCAGTGCGGTAACAATTGGTGTCATCCCCATGAACCCCCTTCCTGCACATAAAAATTTGTAAAGAGAGTCATGTGCGGAAACACATGGTGTCACCCATTGACCTCCTCCCTGCACAAAATTTCAAATATTTTATAGACAGTCATTTTAGTATCACCCAGTGCATTCCACTCACCCCGCACCTCTTAGTGACGCCGCTGGATAGATATGCATGAAAGCGATTTTCAGATGTATCACCTAAATGCAAAGATAATTTCATTATATTTGTACTCGCCAACCCCCCCCCAAAAAAAAACCGAAAGCAAAATCCAAAATTTGCCAGCGAAGCATATACAAAACATAGTATTTCTGTCCGACAAAGAGGTTATCATATCGACAAAAATGTGAACGAGAATAATCTAAGAGAATTTTTAAATTTCTTTCATGCGAAAGCTTCAAGGATAATATACAAACATCACGAATCCTTAGTGAATGATTTGGCTTCCATTCACTGCCAAAAACAACGATCTCTTTAAAAATTAATTCAAATAATACATTCTTCATGGAAAAATTTGGAATTATAGAATAGAGAAGGGCTGTCATCTGATGGAGGGGCTGGTGCTAATATTTCCCTCAGCTCCATATTGCTTGCAATGTGCTGAATATCTTAAGAAACAAACTTTCTAGGAACAATCTGGTGATTCTTCCTTGTAAAGTTCTTGGTTTATTTTATATTTTTCAGAATATGGACACCACGGAGCAAGGTAATTTTCCATTACTGCGACAAACATAACTCTGCCATTGAAAATTATTCAGCCTTTACCACGTTTTAGATCAAGATATTGAGTTAGCATCAAATATCAAACCTGCTCTATAAGAAGCATTTAGGAATAGTCGTTGTCCAACTATACAATTGTAATGGTGTTCATTATTCTAGAATTCAGTACATAGTCTATGGCTTGACTCACAGACACACATTATATTATGGGTTGTGGAAATATTAATTATTTTTAAAAAGAATATTCATAGCGTTGCTGTCATTATGTTTTTGGTGCACACTATTTCTTTTTTTTTAAAAAAACGCACATTTATTTTTGTGTAACTCATTCCACACGGAAAATAATGAGATAACGAAAGAGGGAGAAAATGAAAGAAATATAGATGGATAACAGGAAAAGAAAAACCAGAACAACTTATATAAAGTACTTAACAATATTAAAAAGCATCAGTCGAATCAACCAGTTCCCTCAACATAAATTCGAATTTGCTGCAGAATAAAAAAAAATTTATTACCCTTAATAGAAGAAATGGTGTTACCAATGAGAAATTTCGAAAGTATTAACAGGAATAAATGATCTCACGGAAACAAAATAATTATCTGTTTTTGGTAAAGATTATCAAATAAAAAGTGTCTTGAAATTTCAAGCTGAAATTCATATAAACAAGTGAGTTGTGCGTCTTACATTATCAGGCGTAGCAGGTACGTCCATAATACGGATATACTAAAATACGAAGATTAGTTTTTCCTGTCTGCATCTTAACCGCTCCGGTGGCCTAGTGGTTAGAGGGTCCGCCTCGTATGTGGGAGGTCGTGGGTTCGATCCCTGGTTGAGTCATACTATAGACTTACAAAAATGGTACTAACAACTATCTCACTTGACACTCAGCATTAAGAGATTAGTGTTAGGACTGGTCGGTCTGGTGTCAGGATAATGTGACTGGCTGGGACATCATGTTACATGTCTATGGCATGATTTCCCAGTATTAGACATCACTATAACTGCCACAATGCAGACATCGGTAGCGAAATGACTGAAAAATTATTAAAGCTACGTTAAAAATCAAAATCACATAATCAAATCCTGTCTACATCATATAGAGAACTTTTACCCATTACCTCCCATTGCCACCTTTTGGATTCGACAGTTTTTAAGCATCTCATTAAATCAAAGTATGTCTGAAATTCAAGTCATCTTTTCTAATATTTGGATTGATTTGGACAAATATTGATTCAAAAACATGTTGTATACATTATATATTTTGATTATGACAGATAATTTGCGCAATTTATTACTCTCTCGACCTTGGTCGTCCCCATTTGCTTGGAATAACACGCTATCATTGATGCATGTTGACTTGCAAGTGTTCGCACAGTCAGTCTTTAGCGGACTGTTTATATCAAGCCTTATTTAGCTACTTATTTGATAAACTGTTAGGACTCAGACGCGTTAATATATTTATTGGTTATAATTATTTATCGTTTCAGAAACATGTATTCGATTTCTTCGAGATGCACTAAATGCAGGGAAAAAAAGCGAGAGGAGACTCACGGGAGTTCTGTCTGTCGTCCACCAAATATACCCCTGCTTCCCTTGCAACTTGTGCAATTTATGGTACTAGGACATCTGGTCAGCCAGTCTGATGAAGTTGTTGTTGGGCTTAACGCCATTTTTCAGCACACGATAGGCTATTCATGGCGGCCAGTATTAATGGTGGAGGAGGAAACCTGGAAATCACTGGAAAGAACCACCGACCCACGAGAAGCTAGTTGCAAGCTTTCTCACATATCCACATTCGCCGAATCCTAGACTCGACCTCAAGCAGAGAGAGGTGAGATGGCAGTTATCCGTAACGGACAGCGCTTTAGACCACTCGGCCACTTGGGACCCCCCCCCATCTGATGAAAATCAGCTGTAAGCAAAGAGAAAAAGGGAAATCAAGTGAGACCAGTTTGGATGTACAAAAGAATACATCCGTGTACAGAGTCATTTGTGAGCCATTTAGAAAACGCTTTTCATGTGCACCCCACCGCCACACCTAATATCAAAACTAAGAAGACTTCCATATATATATATATATATATATATATATATATATATATATATATATATATATATATATATATATATATATATATATATATATATATATATATATATAGATATATATATATATATATATATATATCGCCAGACAGAATGTTGCCTTGCCAATTAGAAGGACGCTTTTAAGAAAATCCGTCCAGCTATCCAGCACTACTGGTGCGACTGGTACCAATACCAAACCAGTCCGGCTTCTGCACGTGTGATAACCGGGCCGACTATCCTATAAATTTATTTGTTTGAAACTCCTTTGTATGGAGACGTAGTAGATGCAAAAATTCAAGCAAATGATACTTCAAAAGTGCCTATTAATTTTGCATTGAAATGTATATGACGCTTTAAGGATGTCGCATGAAATGATGATTCAATACTGTCAGGCATAGTTATCCATTAACTATGTAAAGGAAAGCGTTGACATCAATAAGTTATTGCACAACATGGAACAAATAATCTTAATTTGTAAATCCTAACACAGTAGTAAGCAAAACCAGACGTGTAGCATTTCGAATCGCTAGGAAAAAGGACATAAAAGAAATGCTATCACCCATCATTATATCATGCCAGACTGGATGAGAGCGACTGATTACAATAATCTGGACACAAGAAGGCCATCAATAGATGATTCCTAATCAGAAGTTGCAGCCTAAATACCCGATAAATTTGCAATTACTTCAGACAGCCATTTCAATTCCCGGGAATAAGGAGATACTAACGAAAGAGTTACGTGCCATTTCAATAACAGGTAGGAGGAGCCGAGGATCTAGTTCATGAATACAATGGAATAATTAAATACAAAGAACTTCTATTGGAATAAAAATCTCGTCCAATCAATAAGAGCAAACATAATTTTGGAATATTTGCTGCACAAGTACGCACTTCAATTAAAGAATCTATGAATCTAGATGGAGATATTTGTGAAACCAGATTGAAGAGTTAACACAGGTCATCAGAAAGAGAAGTCATGTAGACAAAATCCATTAGACATGTACTAGGAGAAAATTTTCTTTTTTTTCCCCCACTTCATCTTCTTACTTCAGCACGTCACCAAAGTAAAAAGTGGCTTTATAAATGTAGTGAATCATTTGTTTAAGTTAGCAATTAAGTAGCAGTATAAATTTTTGAATTTATTGGTAGTCTGTTAATTTGGTTATTAAGAGCGTGTGTTAAATTGTTTCTTTTCTAGGTGACCATGTTATATTACTTGCTTTAGCATTAATATTATTGCAAGTCATGTTACATTTTTAGCATTAATATGATCATGTCATATTATTTTAGCATTATTTAGCATTAATGTGACCATATCATATTACTTGTTTTAGCATTAATATGACTATGTCATATAACTTGTTGTAGCATTAGATGATTGATTTGCAGTATAAATTTTTGAAATTATTGGTAATCTGTTAATTTGGTTATTAAGAGCGTGTGTTAAATTGTTTCTTTTCTAGGTGACCATGTTATATTACTTGCTTTAGCATTAATATTATTGCAAGTCATGTTACATTTTTAGCATTAATATGATCATGTCATATTATTTTAGCATTATTTAGCATTAATGTGACCACGTCATATTACTTGTTTTAGCATTAATATGACTATGTCATATAACTTGTTGTAGCATTAGATGATTGATTTGCTACTTGAATACAAGGCAAGAAACGAGGAACCAATTCATTTCCTATTAAAACAGAAAAGCACATACATTCGAGCAACCATTGTTTCTTTAGCATTCTTAAATGCTGTGTCATAGTTACCACGACAGCGTATATCAGAGGTACAGTGGTGCTTTGCACAGGGTAGAACAACCCGACCGTAGAACTATCATCACTGTAATCACGAATCTCTTCCTATCCTTTAAGCACTTTGTCTTCAATTTTTTTTTACCATGTCATGGATTAGTTATCAGCCTTTGGGATACAATTCAATATTATTGGTAGGTAGGGTTAACCCTCATTTATAATGAGCCTTTCGATTTCATTAAATTGGTTTTGTATTAAACCATGCTAACCATTTTCATAATCATGTCATTGTACTAAAAATAAACTGCCGCCACTACCACCGACATATTCTATTTGAGCTTTATAATGGTTTATATTTTGAAACCTCGTATAAGATTTACATCTGTGTCCAATCCTTACTGTCCTAGCATTAATCTGCCTAGCTTTTTTTATTGCTTTTCGTCACTGTTGAAACAATCCGCGTAAAAGATGTTCTTTTGTGTACCTTAATGCCTAATTTTCGAATGACAAAATACTTAAAACCTCAATTGACTCTGCCTTTTTCCACATATGTTACTCCCTCCTCATAATCTTACGTCAAGGTGCAAGTCCAGCCAGTGTGTGTGTGTGTGTGTGTGTGTGTGTGTGTGTGTGTGTGTGTGTGTGTGTGTGATTGTTCAAATGAACTCGTATCCATTCTATAATCACATTGTAAGACTAATTTCAGTAGCGTATCCCTGTTACCGATCTTACGCTAGTACGGGATTATTTTGCTGTCTTGTGGATTGTGGAAATAGACTTTTCGGTGACGTGATGTGAGATGTGATTATGATCTTTAACGTAGCTTTAACAATTTTTCAGCCCTATCGCTACGATGTCTGCAGTGTGGCAGTTTATAGTGATGTTTAGCACTGGGGCATCGTGCCGCAGACATGTGGCATGATGTCCCCACCCAGTCACTTTATTCTGACACCAGGCCGATCAGTCCTAACTCTAAACTCTTAATGCTGAGTGTCAAACGAGGTAGCTGTTAGTACCATTTTTATAATTTTTTGGTAGGACTCAGCCGGGGCTCGAACTCACGACCTCCTGCATCCAAGGCAGACACTCTAACCACTAGACCACCAGGACGGTTAAAATTCGTTGAAGTGTTAGAGGTCCATAGTAAGGAATAGTCTCCCACAGCATATGCAATCCACTAACAACTTTAAAAATGTTAGGGAAAAAAATGAATATATGCATTATGTGACCGAAAGACGAAAGACCACATTGTTAATATACACTATATATATGTTTGTTTATCATCCTGTCTTAATATCTACTTTTCAAACTCTTTACCAGAGTTGACAAAACAGATTGAATTCGGGTGTAGTCAGTAAGTAATATGAAGAAAAATCAACATCTCCTGGATATAAAATTTATGTTTCTGAAAGTGTCAGTGTAAGATTATTTTTTTAAAAAAGAAGTAAACATAGGTACGCGATACACTTACGTTCCGAAACACCCATCAGAATGATATTCCGATGAATAGAAGAGCCGAGAAATCAGCAACACCACAATAATGATATAAATGAGCCCATTTGAAGTATTCGAGAGGGAGTTGAGTGTGGAGGTGGGGCGTAGGTGGAAAAAAATGTGCGGTCACTATATCATCACTGCATTTGTCTTTTTTTAAAAAAAAATACAGCGATTTAAATAAATAATGAAATTCGTTTCCTATCTTAATATCTGTACAAGAGAGAGAGAGAGAGAGAGAGAGAGAGAGAGAGAGAGAGAGAGAGAGAGAGAGAGAGAGAGAGAGAGAGAGAGAGGGGGGTTATTACGTGTACACTTCAAGGCATACGGATCAATGGGTGTTTTTAACTGGATTAGACAAGATGTAGGCAGCTTATGTTAGATATGTACGTGAAAGTGCAAAACGCTTGTGTAAAATGAGGATAAGAATAGTATTATAGTCTTAGCTTTAGCTGACGCTCCACAGTTAAGCATAGATTTAGATTTATAAAGAAAATAAATTTCCCAGGTTTTTCATATTGGATTTACTGGCATTTGAAAAAGAATCTTGCATATATTGGGTATTACTAAAAGAACCTTTAATTCCCTTTATTTTTGGTGTATAATTGATTGATTTAAATTCGGGTTTAGAGTAAACAGCTTGACCTTTCTTCAGATGTGTACTTATTTCAAATAAAAATGAACCCACCCACCCCCAAACAAAAAACCCAAATCTGCAAGTTCCGCTGAGTCCTTTTCTATTCATGTACTTCAGAGATAACTTGTATTAAAAAAGAGCCGATAAATATTTTCTTATATATATATATATATATATATATATATATATATATATATATATATATATATATATATATATATATATATATATATATATATATATATGTATGTATGTATGTATGTATGTATGTATGTATGTATGTATGTATGTATGTATGTATGTATGTATGTATGTATGTATGTATGTATGTGTGTGTGTGTGTGTGTGTGTGTGTGTGTGTGTGTGTGTGTGTGTAATTGATTTATTTCATTTTCAAAAACTGATATTATCAATTCTGGCAAAACTTTTTTTATTTTTTTTAAATTTTAATAGCTCCTAAATTAATGCTGAATTTTCGAGTACATGGGATTAGTCATGTTAGTTATCTGTGTGCACAAATCATGTACAATTTACACAAGTATAATATCCAAATAAATTTCAGCCACAATTCATGTTTGTAACATAGAGGTAGGCCAGCATTCCTTCCATTGTGTATGCTGCAAAAGCAAACAACTTCACCTTTCAGCTGTCAATCTCTCATGACTGCATAGTATTTGTTAACTATATTCATCGAAATCAAGCAAAGTTGCTGACGTTTCAATCTGTCTTGATAGGTCTGTGTAAATTGTAATGGTCGAATTGTAGATAATCGTTGTGAGTAATACAAGGGAAATAACCCCGTCAAGATCAACTTTTTTTTCTTATTAGGGCTGTAAGGGTCAGTCCTTTCATAATTAGATAACACCTGTTGAACAGGTGGAATTTTATCTAAAATTTCAACAGCAGTCTGAATAAGTGAAATGTACTGTTGTCGTCATACACCTGTCCTATATTCTCTTCACTTTTGTAAGGCTTGAAAGGATACAAATGAGTAGAAAAAAGACCATCATTGCGGACTTGGTGAAAAACCAATTTCGTTGGTAAGTAGATCATATATAAATTATTTAAACTTTTCATGGCAAGAAATAATGTATCTTGAAGAATCATTACATTTAAATGTAATTAATAGGGAGTTTCTTTATTTTGCTCAGAGCGCACATATGGAATACATTGTAGCTGAACTAGAACCTAAATTCGAGTTGTGACACCTAATGTCGTGTCCAGATATGGTATGTTGTACACCTTTAGTACCAACAGAATACTATATATGATTTCTATAAAATATTGTTTTCATTTACGGCTGATATTTAAATATACATTTGGAATCGGCATTATCTTACATGTTCACGTGGTTTCCTGAATTTTCTTGCATGTGACTTGTTAGCAACACCACAGGGATTCGTTACAAAGAAAATTTTGAGCTTACCTGTAACAATATAACAGGTTAGACTCAAAGTTTTCTTTGTAACGAACCTTTGTGAGCAACACAGGCACTTCATTAATTAGAGAGAGAGCTAAACACTGTTACGTTTGGTGTCCCCATGAATCAAATGCCTGTGATTTAGGCCCAGTAATGTGGAAGGTCTGAGTTTTAGGGAGGTCAATTTTTTTTAATTTTTTTTTTTACAGTAAAGGAAGTTGTTTTAATGGTACCTAGCAAATAAAAACAGCTTTAAGATTTCATAAAAATAAAATCAGTCTAATACCTTGATTTTCCACTGACTGTAGCCTTAAGCTTCTTTTTTACTGTTTAGATATGGGCCCTGGTTTGCGGAGTGGTCTAAAATACTCACATTTACTAATCACTGCCATCTCACTGCCTTCAGCATGGGTTCAATTCTCGGGCTCGGTCAATTTATATATGTGAGGAAGCTTGCCAATAGCTTACTGTGGTTTGGTGGTTCTTACCAGGGTTTTCTTGGGTTTCTCATCCATCATTTATCCTGGCTGTTGTGTATAGCCTATCTTGACTTAAGAAATAGTGTTAAACCCAGTTACAACAACAATGACAATAGTAATTGTTCAGATTATAAAATGTTAATAATGGATATTGTCTTTTGAAAAACATTTATCATTGAAATTAGTACTAAATGTTGATTACAAATATCCAGGCATTTTCTTTCAGTCATGTGTTAATCAAGACCATTCCCATTTTGTTTGTCCTTGTAATTAACAGTTAGCATTCTTACCATCAAACATTTCAGACTTATAAATTCTAGTGGATTCCATAGGATTAATTGCATTATAATTATTGTGGAAAGGGACATTTAGAATTAAACTGGAGTGTTTATTCCTGGATGTCAAATTACATGAATCTTTGCTAAATTCACACCCACCCCCTTTCTTAGAAATGAGCAAATACATGAAAACTGTAATTTCAGTTTGCCTTCAGCATATTAAAAACTGCAACATTTTTTTAAAAATATTAATGGACTTCAGTCTAATTGTGCGAATGCTTGACTGCTAGATCAGCTGCCATCAGAGGTGCCTGCAGAATTCTTTTCAGGGCATTAATGGGGGTGGCAGACATGCAGTGGTCAGCGTCAGCTATTAGTTGCCACGCTTATTTGACCCTATGTAAGGGTTTCATGGCTCCCATAATCAAGAAATTACTAAATTACTTTTTGCATTTGAACAATGACATTCTTTTATTGATTATCTAATTTTTAAAAGCATTTTGTCAGCTACACTTGGCAAGGTTACACATTGGCCTAATGTGCAGTTTTGATATTTGGTGGCAGTGTCTCTGCTCTTAAGTGCAATTCTAATGCATATGGAATAATGTCTTTTTATAATACAGTTACTGCCACTGTGCCGATAATAATGATAGAGTATTAGTTATTCATTTATTTATATTATATTTTTTTATATTGTATTTTTATCAAGTATATATTACCAGATTACATAAATTTGTTGAAATGTGTTGTGATGTGTTTATTATATACACTTTTGTCACATAAAATATGCTCCCCTCAAAAATTGTCAATTTTTCTTAATCATTTTTGGGAATTCCCCCTCTGTGAAAATACTGGCAAAGCCAATGAACTGAGATTTTGTAGATATTTGATCATGAATTTCCATGCAAAAGTTAAAAAAATACAAGATGCTATAAGCTCTATATTTTCTGTCAGCTAAATAGGTGCATCAACCAGTGCACTGAGTTCTCATTTAACAAGAACAATGATGCAGTGAAGAGTTCAAAAGTGTTGCTTTGGTTAAAATTTAAACAAACTTCTTTATCCATTGATTCAGTACACTGATACCCTTAAATGACAATATCTGCATGGCTGTAGTACAGTGGATATCTGTCATGGATATGACTAACTTTTAAGTAATTATTTTGTGACTAATTTTGCTCTCCAGTAATTTTATTTTGTTTGATCTTTGGATTGGTTTCCTTGGTTTAAATGACACTTTCTTTTGACACTTTGTCGGTATCATGCAGAGGAAATATGAGTTAAGTGCCTTTTTCTAGGACACATTGAGGAGCTATCCCAGGCTGGCCAGGTTAGGTGTCAAACCTGTGACCTATGGATTAAGTGTCTGACTCATACTGTCATTCATGATTATGTCAGTATTAGAAATGTTTTGTTCTCTTTCATAGATATTTTACCAACACAAATTGCAACATGTGTTTATTTTAAACAGTTGTAAACTGCCATTATGGCACTTAGTCTGTTGAGGTGTTTATTGTCTGAATTTTCTATGTAATTCAATAATGGTTTATCCATGATGATTGGTTATTAATGTGGAATACTGTGCATGACATAGGCCTCCAGACACTTAACACATCAATTAACATTGATTTCTTTTTAAAGATCTCCTTTCTCAGTAGGTCAGTTTCAAAATCAGTTGTGTATGCAGAGATCACAACAATTTTTTTAAGTGTGTGTGTGTGATTTATATTTTTAATGTAGCTTTTAACAGTTTTTCAGTCATAGCACTATGATGTCTGCAGTTTGGCAGTTTATAGTGATGTCTAGCACTGTGGCATCATGCTGCAAACATGTGGCATGATGTCCCAGCCAGTCACATTATCCTGACACCAGGCCAAACTGTCCGAACACTAACTAACCTCTTAATGCTGAGCTTCAAGCAAGGAAGCTGTTAGTACCATTTTTGTAAGTCTTTGGTATGACTCAGCCGAGGCTCGAACTCACAACCTCCTGCATCCAAGGCAGGCACTCTAACCACTAGACCACCAGGACGGTTAAAATTTGTTGAAGTGTTAGAGGTCTATAGTAAGGAATAGCCTCCCACAGCATATGCAATCCATTAACAACTTTAAAAATATTAGGGAAAAAATGAATGTTTGCATTATATGATGGTAGATCTTAGTTTGGTAGGTATGCAGTTAAACTTGACTCTTGCGCTTATGTATGTATGTATGTATGTATGTATGTATGTATGTATGTATGTATGTATGTATGTATGTATGTATGTATGTATGTATGTATGTATGTATGTATGTATGTATGTATGTATGTATGTATGTATGTATGTATGTATGTATGTATGTATGTATGTATGTATGTATGTATGTATGTATGTATGTATGTATGTATGTATGTATGTATGTATGTATGTATGTATGTATGTATGTATGTATGTATGTATGTATGTATGTATATATATATATATATATATATATATATATATATATATATATATATATATATATATATATATATATATATATAAATGGTATGCCCTGTGTTAAGTATTGTTTTCAGGTTTTAACTGTTCTGAACATTTTTTAATTGTTTAATATTTAATTGTTTTACGTGATATGTTCAATATGTAAAAATATATTTAAAAACTCTACTCTGTCTTTGTATCTTTATCACACATATTTGTTGTATATAAAATATCCTAGCAGCTGATCTTGCATTTATTTTTGTATTGTTTTATCTGCCTTTCTACACCAAGTTTGTAGTTCTTTCACAAAGCGGTATGATGGCTTAATGGTTAGCATGCTAAATTTATTACCAAAAGAATCTGTGTTTGAATCCTATGATTGGATCTGCTTGGGTTGGCTACTGGGGCATCTCATCGGGCAAGTTAATTTACTTCAGTTGCCTTGGCCCTAAATGGCCTAATTTTGTTGCTGTGTTATTAAACACCAAATCAACAATAACTTAAGGTTTTTCACATTGTATGTGACAATACTTGGGCAAGTTTCTCTTTTATATTGATTACACTTTCTGTCTGACCTACTGGCATGGACAATATTTGTTAATCACTTATTAGCTTATTAAAGTGAATAAATATTTAATTGATTTGATTGTGCTAGCCAGATAGATGCTTCAGACCCCAATTAATAGACAAAATAGAATCCATTAAGAAATGTTCCCCCTATCTAGATCATAAATTGCAGTAAACCCTGTTATGTCCTATGATATTCCCTCTGGGCTTGTATGTACTTGCTTGTATCTCAAGTCCAACTGGCAACTGCACAGACCCAGATCTGCTATTGCATATTCCACTGGCAGATCATAGTCTATGCAGTTTATTTGGAGTAATTTGTAGGTAAATAAAATAGACCATGATTTACCAGCATATTATGTGTTATATGTTATTTGTAGTTGGATTTGACCATGTAATATATTGGCATTGACAATATTTGTGAATCACTTATCCCTTAGCTTATTAATGTGAATAAATGTTGAATTGATTTGATTGTGCCTGCAAGATAAATGCCTTAGATCCCAGTTGAAGGACAAAATATAGTCAGTTAAGGAATACCCTAAATTGTTTACCATTCTTAGGGCCTGTTAGTTTATTCTGGCAAAGGACAACATGGAGTTAGGTTATTTGACTCAATAACTGCAGTAAAATATTCAATTTATCAGCTGATGCTGCATAAAGCACATCAGTTGCATGAAATTTTAATGGATATTTGATAAAAATCAGCAAGATATATAAAACATTGTTTTGGCATGATGGATGTTGGCAGAGTATTCATTTTCCTAAATGAACTTTTTTGTTTTGGAATTTGATTGGAAGTTGGAACTTCATGTGTATTGTTGATGCAAAAAATTAAAATTTGATTAGGAATGTTTTTTTTATGTTGGCTAAAATTTAACAGATTTGTTAGATTTAATATTTTCAACTTATACGAAAGTAGAGTATTATTTTAATATACATATAAAAGAATACATTTATTTTCTTTTAAACAATCTCTTTGCACATACATACATACATACATACATACATACATACATACATACATACATACATACATACATACATACATACATACATACATACATACATACATACATACATACATACATACATACATACATACATACATACATACATACATACATACATACATACATACATACACACACACACACACACACACACACACACACACACACACACACATACATACATACATACATACATACATACATACATACATACATACATATATGCATACATGCATGCATTCTTGCATACACACACACACACACACACACACACACATATATATATATATAGAGGATCTCAAATGGGTAACGATTTAATATTGAATTTATGAAACAGGTTGAATAAGGTTCAGCTTTTGCAGCCTTGCCCATTATGTTCATTTTAATATAGTTATTATGTGTATGTGCAACTTTTATATATACTTGTTTTTTTGTTGAACCTTTTGAAGAACAGGTGCTTTGTTATTGACCAGGTGTCTAATAATACAATTCCCATTTTCAGTTCTTCTTTGCTTGGGTAGATTCATATACCCTATTTACCTGGTAAAGAGATAGGCAAATTTACTGTTAGACCAGACAAATTTGAACAAGAGCATTACAAATAGAGGGCAAGCAGTGTGACTGAGATATGATCAGTGGAATACATTCTTCACCATTTGACCTGATTCTTAAAGGATTTTATCATTGTTTGTGTTAATGTCCTTGGCATTGATTGTACCTATTTGTCCAGCCTACTGGCATTGTAGATATTTGCTAATCACTTACTCCTTAGCTTATTGATGTGAATATTTAATTTATTTGATTATGTTAACAAGATAAATGCCTTAGATTCCGGCTTTAGGACAATATAGAGTTAAGTAATATTTCCCTTACAAATTTTACAAGTCTTAGGACCTAATGATTAAACCCCTATCCACCAGACAATGATTTAACCTCTATCTCCCAGACAGTGAGGTAACATCTAGCCCTTAGATGATAATTAAACCACTTAGGACCTCCCCCTTTGTGACTTAATCCCTATCTCCCTAGCTGGGGGCTCTGAGTGGTCTAAAGTGCTCACTTTTATGGATCATTGCCATCTCACCTCTATCTGGGTGGGTTCCAGTCTGGAGTCTCTGATTCTGCCAATGTGGGTATGTGAGAAAACTTGCCAGTAACTTCTGGGCCTTGTGAGAAAACTTGCCAGTAACTTCTGGGGCTATCTCAGATTCTGCCAATGTGGGTATATGAAAAAGCTTGCCACTAACTTCTGGGGTGGTGGTTCTTTCCAGAGTTAACAAGATAAATGCCTTAGATTCCAGCTGTAGGACAATATATAGAGAGTTAAGGAATATTCCCCATACACATTTTAAAAGTCATAGGACATATCATTTTATTCTGCTATTTGATTCATTGACTGCAGTAAAATATTCAGTGTACTTGCTTAGTCTGCATAAAGTGCATTGGTTTCAAGAAGTTTTTAATGGATATTTGAGGAAAATCAGCAATAATTTTGAAAATATTTCATCTTGATGGATGCAGGCAAAGCATGAAATTTTCTTTATGACCTGTTTTGTTTTGGAGTTTGAAAGTGTGAAATTTACATATTAATATCTTTGTTGTTTTCTGGATGCAACAAAACTGGTAAGTTTTGAATGGATTTGTATTATAATTTTTATTTTGGTTAAAATTTCATTTACTTGACAGATATAATATCTATAGATTCATGTATGCACTATTATAAATGTAACAGGTTCTATTTAGATTCCATTGAACCATATTTTATGTATGTACATGTATCTTTATTTATATATTGTGTATCAATTATATCAGGGAGACAGAGATATAGTTAAATGCCTCATTAATTTTTGTTTTACAAGTAAAACAGAATTAATGGTAGTTTTTAAAGTTTTATTGGATTATAAATATGGAGGAAACCTGTTATGTGTACAATTTTTGCCCACGTTTTGTATATACTTGTTTACAAGTTAGAGTTCAACTGAAAACTGTACAGACCCATGTCTGCCATTGCATAATGTAGCAGTAGTTCTGGCTCTATGTAGTTTATTAGGAGTAATCAGTAAAAGAAATAGACCCTGATATGCCAGCATGTTTTGTTATAGTAGATCCAGTTTGATGTTTTTTTCCAGCTTGACTTATATAAGCAAGTAGATATAGTATATATTAGTCCTTAATCCTTTACAGGACAAAACAGTGTCATAAGAATGAATCAGATTTGCCAAGTCCAGTGACCATTTTTTTAAAAACTTTGTAGCTCCCATGTTGGTGCTGAGTGCTTATACTTGAGTTGAGCTGCATTAATTTCATTTGCATTATACTGATTCTTTTTGCATCTCTTGGCTTTAATGTAAGCTCTGTGGCATGCCAACTAGATAGGGTGATTTCTGAACCAAGCACTTAATGTCAAAGGAAACTTTTGGGTCCTTATTGTTGACTTATAATAGTCTCTTGACAGTATGCACAGTAAATTCTTTCAAAATCTGATTTTCAGCAAAGTAGTGTTATACTGTGTAACTTCCATGACAATAGACATTACTATGACTGCCAATTCTGTTCCATAAATATTATATGAGATGCACACAAGTTAATTAGAAGTAATAAAATTATACACAATTTTTAATTGGAAATCAGTTTAATGAGGAGCATATGAGTGATATCATAAAATAGCAAGATACAAGAATCAATAACAATGTTTTATGGTGCAGCATCATTATTCTGTCTGTGTTATGTGATTTGCACAGTTTGGTCAGAAATAAAAATTACTGCAAAAGACCAAATGTCAATACTAAGGCTACTTTCAGGCATGTCAGTAGAATGAATTGGTATAGAATTTTGTTACCTTTGTTAACATTATGCCAGTTTTTGCACAGTAAGATGACATGGCCAAATACTTCTGGTCCATAACAGTTATGTGTGTCTGGTTTTGATGATAATCATAAGGGACTACCTCGAGAATGCCAAGAAAATACTAGTATTTCCTCACTGAATTC